TTTCTTAACGAATTCGCCGAACACGAGCTGTTCGCGAACGACAATTTTCACTGACATCCCTAATATTAATATATATAAATAATATTCTATTATATATTAAATTTATCAAATTTAATTTTTTTAAATATTATAAATTATATATATATAATTATTTTAAATTATTTTATACTTCGAATAATAATGATTCGAACACGAACGAACGCATCACTATTCGTGTTTGGTTCATTTAACTAACCGAATGAAAAAAAATTGTTCACGTTCGTTTCGTTTACTTATCGAACGAATTTAACACGAACTCATTGACGAACCAAACACGAACAACGAGCTTTTTTGACAGCCCTAGCCATGGGAGGAGCAGCCGTGCAGGATTTATTGGAGAGCAGGTCGGGCGAGCAGGTGAGGCGAGGATTTTGGTCTTCGGTTGAGAGTGGGAGGCGAGGGTTTTGAGAGAGCGAGGATGGTGAACCGAATGACTGTTCGGTCGGGCGAGGAAAAGAGGAGGCGTGATTGAGGAGAGCGGGAGGAAGGAGCTAGCGAGTGTTTTTGGCGCGGAGGGAGGAGACACGAGGAAGAGGGCTTCAGTCAGAAGGGAGGTGAACGGGAGAGACGAGTTATTGCCTCGGAGGAGCAGGACATGCCCCGAATTAGTATAGCCAAAGTTTTCGAGCGAACCGTTAATTGGAGCATTGACGGGGAATTGAATGATTCCTTTGATGTAAATGATTCAATTGGAAAAGAATAACAACAAATTATCTTATGGTTTTAAAATGCTCCATTTGAATTTTAAAAATTTGAAATTCTGTGAGCTGGTGATTAGCCCGAACCGACCCCGAGTCAAACTTGGGTTGCCCCGAGCCTGCGTCCCGCAAAAAAAAATGTGCATGAATTTCGGTGCACTTTTTGCGCGCGCGTAATCTTAGCAATATAGGTGTTCTTCAGGGCTAAAATTGACATTCCAGACGCGTCAGCGCGGTCTGTGTCATCATCTGGGTCGTTTAGACAAGTTCGCCGACGGTTGGGCCAAAAATGTGTCAACTTCGTGTGTGGTGTAGTGAGTGTGCTGCTGAGTCACAGAGAGTTCACCTAAGGCCGTCTGATCCTGTAGGAACTCATTTTCGAGCCCTCTACATGTTAGCTCTTAGCCCTTGCAACTAAGAGTTGAGTGCTTGGGACTACTCATGCGAGGTCTGCACAACAATGAGTCAAAAAGTAGTTCAAAGTTCTATGGGAGGTGGACTCTATTACTAGTCCGCTAGAATGATCAATAAAGAACTTATAAAACTAGATCCTGGGTTCTAAGAGTAGGAGACTAAGACCTCACTGAAAATGAGGTCAACGATTACGTGTGTACTGAGAATAAGAATGATGATGAAGTTTGAAATAAAGATTTTTTTAGGGAGAGGAAGGAGGTGGCTGTTGTTTAAAGAAAAAATAGTGACAAATTGAAATTATTACTCCAAAACCACATCCAGCTCATTGTTGGCGGGCTTATATAAAGCCTTACAGGTTACAATATTTACAAATAAATTTTCATACTTCATCTATTTACAAATATGACCCTACATTAGATATAAATCTCAACACTTCCCCTCAAGATAGGCAAATAATATTTCACTAAGCCCATCTTGGCACAGAACCAAGATAAATTTAATGAGCCTTTTAGTTAGGCAGTCAACCACTTGCTCTTCAGTTGGCTCTTCAGTTGCTACATGACATAGCTCCAATAGTCTATTGTTCAGCTTTTCCTTGATGAAGAACCTATCAATCTCCACATGTTTTCTTCTAGCATGTTGCTCCGGGTTGTTTGCAATGTTGATTGCTGACTTTTTGTCACGCCAAAACTTCATTTGAGTACCCTAATTCACTTTGAGTTCAACCAACAAGGCTTTTAACCACATCATCTCAGTAACTCCTAATCCGATGGCCTTGTATTCTGCCTCTTCTGTTGATCTTACTACAACTGACTATTTCTTGCTCTTTCACGAGAAGCTTCTCAATGACATGTATCAATGCCACAGATCTCTAGAAGAACAAAATCAATGCCTTAGAACTGCTCTAACTGTCGTGAGTCGATTTGTAGGCACTAGATTTTCTATGTGCAACATCGAAGTATTGATTGCTCGGTAACATTGCAGGTGGACTGTTAAATTAGTGCCCCAATGCTTGTTGAAGTCGAACTTCTGCACCTTAAACATGGTAAAAGGCACTTATGAACCATATAGGAGATTCCATTGCACCTCTTAGATATATTAAAGGGAGCGTCTTGGTGCCCCCAAGCCTGACACAAAGTCGCCAGATGCTCAGTGTGACGTCGAATCTTAGAGAGGGAGGGGGGGATGTCATGGCGCCCTATGCCTAGTGTAAAGACGCTAGTCACTTGGGTTTGTGGTCAGTGTTGGACGCTATTTGGCGCCTAGGCGCCAGCCCACTCGAGCCTTTTCTTTTATGTTGAATGGCTCAATTTGGATCCCAGCTTCCATCTACTTTGGTCCAATAGTTGTTAAGGCCTCTTTGAAACTTTCATAACTACACGAACATTGCAAATTACAAGAAAATATCTAGAAAAGTATAAAAAGAAATAAATAATAGATAATTTTGAAAGAAAACTTAGATAGTTATTTCACATAATTCACACATATCACCTCCTACTCGACCACCACCTTCCACTCAGCAAAGCACCTCCCTCTCATACACCACTAGCCTCCTCCGATGAGACAGACCCCTCTGAATCAAGATACCTTTGAATGGGTATGCATTGAGCTAGAGGATACTTATAAGTTATTCTTTACATTATAATAAGTTTGATGATCTTTTTGAAATTCTATGCCACTAATATTTCTATTTCAGGTTCTATCTATCAAAGCCACTCGTAACACACATCATGGAGATCATCAAAAGTAGGTATGTGCTTCATATCTCTACTGGAAGCTAATCTTGTTAGCAACTCGAGGTGCGTGGTTCAGGGAGTTTGGATCATTTCATTTGAATTAGAATTATACTTTCATATTACTTTGTTATACTAATAAATATGACATAGTTTTTAATTTTAGAGGTCCTTCTACTAACTGTTGGAGCGTCACCAACGGATTTACCTCATTTTTTAGGTTTGGGACAGACATCAGTTGGGTGACATATTCAATACACCCCGTAGGAAGGGGGAGTGGCAGCCAATATCACGCCGGCGGCTAAGCGCCTAATGGTTGGTGCCTAGGCGCCAACCTCTTGGGTTGTCAGGCTGAGACTGACATCTAGGCCCCCAGGGGTGGCGCCTAGGCGCCAGTCTCTTCTTAACTCCTTTGCTCCAAGTCTCTTCCGCATTATTCCAAGTTTTTTCCACATTGCTCCACATCCAACACCTATTGAACTTGCAGGAAAAAACAATAAAATAAATTTCTTTAAAGTGCAATTTCATCCATAAAAATGTGTAAAACATTTAGAAATTTAAGCGTTCTCTTCGACAAATCAACATACATAGATCTAAAATACACGAAATTTAAGAAGATATAAACTTTAATTTTATTAAAAGAAAAAAAAAATAGTTAAGACAATAAAATTGATCGCAAGCAAAATTACGCATACCATGTACTTGAGGAAGGACTTTCCCCTTTTAAAGAGTATCACTTTAAAGTGCCTTAATTTCATGATATGACTCTCCATATCCATCTCCATATTGATAGAGGATTTGTCTTGTTCTTGTTACATTAACCAAAGCTTCAGTAAAAGACTAAATAAAATTTTGAAGATTTAGTGTGCTCTTGATTCAAGTTCTTCTAATAATTTCTTATCAGAAATCTATTATTATTTGGGGCATATGTTTCTGAAACATTTTTTTCTTTTATGTAAAATTGAATTGATTTCGAGGCATCTCTTCTTTGGCACAAACAATATTTCTTAAAAGGAAAAAGTAGTTCACTACAAGAATTATAATATTGAAAATATTCATTTTGTTAAATGTTATATGGGTAAAAATATTGATGGTAATTTTGTTAAATGTTATAAGGGTAAATTTTTTTGTCATTATGGTTTTAACATTAAGCTTCAAACTATAAGAATTTCAATGATTTCTATAATCTTCTTATGAGTTTCCTTTAGTTATTTATTTTTTGTAACATTAGATGAAATAATGGAAAATAATTATTAGCATTTATTTAAATTTTTGGGGGCAACATACATAACAAGATCTAAAAGACAGTAAATTTTAAACCAATAAAATTTGCATACACAAAATAGTAGCACACAAATACTAAATAAATATATTTAAGTGATTGGAAAGCAAGTTCAAGCATAACTAAATTACACACAACATAAACTGGGTAAATGAATCCTTTTTTTTTAAGCGCATCACTTTTGAAATGGAATTGGCTCAATTATTACACATTTGATATGATCCTTAGTTTCACTATTTGACTCTGCATATCCATCGCGATCATTGTAGAAGTACATTGCTGTTCTTGGTACATCTAATAAAGTTTTTTCTGAAAGGCTCCAAGAATTTTGAAAATATTCTATGTTCCCGATTTAATTTCTTCCAATAATTTTTTATTAAACATTTAATATAATCTCGAGCAGTATGTTCTGAAACATTTTTCTCATTCATATAACATTGAATTGATTTTGGAACGTCTCCTCTTTTGATCTCCTCCTGTAATAAGCTTACAAGTAGAATTATGTCATGAACATGTAATTTATACAATAATATAATATCAAGTAAAACAAAATATTACTTCTATAAGCTTATATATGAAAGAAATACTTCTATTTACCGTTGATGTTCCCAAATCATCATACAGTCGTAAAAGCATGCATGAATGGCGAACGACAGGTGGATAGAACTCCAAACTGTTAAGAGCTTCAATTGTCAATTCATCACTCAGACAATATGTTGCAGTTAGTGAACATATTCTTGATATTGTAACCCAAGCGTTATCCAAGTACTCATTTAATGTTGGAGTGCATCCACTGCGATACCACCTTGCTTCAACTAAGTATGCCTTGCATAAATCTACCCACTAAAGTGCAATCATAATTTATTTTGGTTAGAAAAATATGCTTAACAAATCATCTTTTTTTTACTATGTTATATTGTAAGACTATTTTTATATAAAAATAAGAATAAAAAGAAGAAGCTTGAATCTATTTTAAAATTTAAATGACATAAGCTAATTAAAATATATGTTGTATTACCACTCTCTTTAAGCATGGAAGAATATCCAACTCCTTTCCCATTGAGTATGAGACAACAATCTCATTAATTGTGCTGAAAAGCGCAATCAAACATTTCTTCATGTAATTTGGAAGTTGTTGACTTGCATCTATTTTCCATCTAAGAGCTCGAAGGTAATGTTATAATAAGTTAGTAAATTGAGAACATATTAAGTAAATATATTTTATTGCATTCAATGATTATTTCATGTCTATAATTTATGAATATCTGATAACCATGCTACTTAAAACAACTTATGCATATTATTAATCTTTTTTTGTGTTTCCTTACTTTTCAACGACATTTGTAAAGAGTTCTAGTTCATCTAAGGCACCATAGACATCATAAATATCATCAATTGTTGCTACGAGACTAATTATTTTGGTGATAGCTTTTCTGCTTATCCCAAATTCAGGCTGAAAAGTAAATCCCACGGCCCAAAAGTAATTCTCCACAAGTCTATCCCTTATAAAGTTAAGCTCTGTACAAGCAAGACCAAGATTTTTCCACCACCTAAGGATAAAAAAGAGATGTATTAATACTTCTTGAAATAATTATGAAAAGAATTGCATATGTACATATAAAAGGAAACACATATTACATGGACATTTCTTGAAGCTCTGTCTTATAGATGCTCTGCACTATGTTGAAGTCTAGCTTAGCCAACTCAAGCAATGTGGGATTAAAATTCTCTCGTCTACCATATGCATCAATAAACCACCTAGTATGTATCCTTAGCATTCTCCAATGCAAGGGTATCTCCAAGGCATGATCTATTTCTTCAACAAGCTGTGGACATAATAAAGATCTATCAAGACATATTAAATGCTCCATTGCAATTTTTCCTGCTTCATCTAGTTCTTCTTCTCCTTCAATACTATGGTAGGAGGCCTCATATAAGCTGAGCATTCCTTTGACATCATGTTGATTATATGGATTGAAGATTTCTCTTTTTTTATTAAAGCAGCTAATAAGATCTTTTACTCTGCCAATCGGTTGAAAAACATTTTAGTAACACTTTTTGCTAAGATGACTTAAAAATGATACAATAATTAAAGTTAATTAGAGGCAATTGTTTGGTTCATTAAAATTTGACTTCATTTTTCTAAATATCCACATATTAGGCTACCTAACTTATAATTAAAACTAATTAAAAATATTAACTATCAACATTCTAAATTAGATTATATTAGTTTTAAATTAAACATATATATTTGCCTTAATAATATTTTCATATTTATTTAGTCTATTAAATGGATTTACAAATATGTTTTTTTTATAACTTCTAGGATCGGAGCCTATTAAAAATATTTTAGTACTAGAATAAAGACACAAGATTAATATGATGCGTTCAACTTTAGAAGCCATTTGGTTACCTTGGGGTTTGGGTGTTGGAGGACTTGATTGTGGGAGAGACTATGCTCTCTTGTCAAGCACCACGCGGTTAGCTCTGTGATATGATGTGTTCCTTTTTTGTGACGTGCTCTTCTTCTTGTTGAAGGAATGACTCCATACTCATCACACCTTTTAAAACGTTGAATCCCAAAATGCCCTTCAGATCCCGCCCAAGGGATAAAGTATTAGTCGAATGAGAGGAATAATAGAAAGTAGAAGAAGAAAGAATAATTTTGTTGGCATCCATTTTTGATGCAACGTAGCGAGGTATCCTTGTTGAGTAAAACAACACTATAGTTGTGTTCTACATCGCTATAGCCTTTCTCCGAGTTGATTGTGATCAGACTAGCCTTGCCTCTGTTATCCGCTGTGTTGACGTTCGCTCTTTTGGCATAGTTTTGTAGTCGGTTGGTACAAATGTTCCCATGACATAGGCTGTTGACGAAACTGCCTCATTCACGTTCATTCCTTAAGCTTAAGGTCTGGACATATGAGTTTTACGATCAGATCCATCGTGCTCAGCGACATGTGCACGATTCATCTTTCGAGCTCTTTTAAGACGCGCTCGTGACCTCTATAGAGGTTCCAAGATTGTCACTGCTCATATCTAATCCTTCAGAGAACTCACAAGGCTTGGAATGGCGAGCTTTTCATCAAGCCCAAGTAATCTAGGATCTGGAATGACCATACCTGATTTAGGCGTGGCCACACACAACCTACGGTGTGACTACGCCTAAATTGGTTGTAGCCACTCCAAGGCCCCAAAAAAGACCCCTAATGAGCTTCGCCCGACATGAGCATTCCTGAAGGTAGCGTGAGCTCACATGACAAACAAAGCCTATGACGTAATTACGCCGCAATATGGACATGACCGTGTCTTAATCTGAGAGGCACCCAAGTCCTTCTGGTGGTGTGAACACGCCTTTGGGTGGCATATCCACTCCATAATACAGAGCGATGAACGTAATTACGTTGGGCCCCAAGCATAGCCATGCCAAACCCTAATCTGTGAGACCTTCAACAGTGGTGTGACAATGCCAGAGCCTAGCGAGACCCAGTTCGTGAATTTGGAATTTCAGACCCTGGTTTCTTGCCTGTGGGGGGCCATGACTAGGGATCCTCCTTCTTTTGCCTGGTTCTCCACCATAAAATGGCATAGAAAGCATTTTGAGACCATATTAAATGGGGAAGGTAGCGTAGATCCTTTTGGTGGACCCTTTGAGGAGGTTTAACGAGGGGAGAAGGCTTCATTTCGAGCGAGCGGTAGCCATTTTGGTGAGGAGAAGTGCTGAGAACAAGGGAAGGTTTCAAGGAGCTTCCAAGGAGATTTTTGGTGAGGCTTCTCCTCTTCCTCCAAGTGAAGTTCAGGGAAACCATTTGCCTCCATTTTTTCAACCTTTTCCTCCATTTCTCTCTTCTTCTTCTTCGTTTCCAAAGGCACTCTGGCGAGCCAATGAGGAAAGCTTCCTCACTTCCTTGAGGAAGGCCAACTCCGACACATCCTCATTTTCTCCGGTAAAGATAGCTTCTTTATCACTTGGGAGAACAAGTCCATTCATCTTCGGCGTCGTTCCAGGAATGCGCCGAGGAAAGCTTCCTCACATCTTTGGGAAGGCGAGCTTCGGCGAGGTTGACATTCTCTCCTACTACAAGGTAGCTTCTTCCTGAATATTGTTGGACGTCAAACAATCATCGCAGCGGTGTAATCTCTTAAACTCATGCATTTTTCTTCCTAGATCCCCTAAGTTTGAATGTGTAAAGGATTAATTATTAAGTTTTGTTGTGTTTAGAGAAGACCTTTAGGATAGGAAGCCATTCAAGAACATCTCCCCTACGAATCTGAGCGTTCTCTTGAGCCTTAGCACCAAAATCATACAAATGACGAGGTTTGCTTAGACCTCATCTTTTTCTCTGGCGGTTTCACTTGGATGGACAACTAAAATCTAAGGATCGGGTGAACGATGATGCCCCTTTGGTCGCCATTCGCTCGATCACAAAGAGTTCTCCTCGAGATTCAACTCTTCGCTACATGTCAGGCTAATGGATGACAACGTCTCGTTGCCTCGTGTGATTCGACATTGACATCACTTTCCATCAATTCAACCATAGAACCTACGTGAGGTCGTTAGGGCGAGTTTGATGTTTTGTTGAACGTTTTTGGGTTATACTGCATGTGCATGATTATTTGTGACATTTTTGCATTTTGCATGTTATATGTGTGATCACTTTGAGGTGATCGTCCACCCCGGCTCAATTGTCCGATCTTTTAGAATTGATTGGTCCCGTCGACTCGATCGTCTAATCCTTTTGGGTTCAACCAACTGCACCAATTCGATCACTCATTTTGGGTTTGATAGGCCATTTAAAGTCAATCACCCGCTCTTTTGGGTTCAATCAGCCGCCCTGATTTGATCACCAATTTTGGGTTTGATCGGTCGTCTTGGGCCAATCATTTGCTTATTTGGTTTCGATTGACCACCCAGGTTCGATCACCCGATTTGGGTTTAATCAGTCGTCCTAAGCCAATCACTTGCTCTTTTAAGTTCAATTGACCGCCCCGGTTGATCACCCATTTTGGGTTTGATCGGTCATTCTGGGCCGATCACCCACTTATTTGGATTTGATTGATTGCCTCGGTTCGATCACCCTTTTTGGTTTTGATCGTCATCTCAGACCGATCACCTGCTCGTTTGGGTTTGATCGCCCCCCTGGCCCGATCACCTGTTCTTTTGGGTTCGATCGACTGCCTACTTTTGGTTTGATCGGCCACCCCGGCCCCATCGACCAATTTTTTGGGTTCGATCGATCTTCCGGGATCGATGAAGTCACATTTTTGGTTCGTTCGACAGCTACGACCTAGTCGAATTGATCACTAACATTCTTGTATGTTTTCTTGCATGTTACATATTACATGTTTTCTCTGCATGTGTATGAAAATTTTTTTTTCACTTGATGTTTATGATTTATTTTATTACATATAAAATATGTTTTATATGTTTGCCTTGTATGCTTTGCATGTAACATGTTTGGAGGTCTCTTTGAGCGTCCATGTTTGGAGTGTCTCTTTGAGCACCCCCACTTGTGGTGTCTCTTTGAGTGCCCACAGTTGTGAGTGTCATCCCCACATACAACGTTGTATGCACGAGAATGGATGCTTGCACACTTTGAAAAATTAAGCTCATCACATACAAAACCAAGATTTTTCGACCACCCAAGGAACAAATCAAGCTTATTAATATTTATTGAAATAATTATGAGTCGCATTGCTTATAAACGAATAAACAAGAACCATATAGCACTTTGACATTTCTCGAAGCTCTGCTTTATAGATGCTCTATACAGTGTTAAAATCTAGTTTAACAAACTCAAGTAATGGGGGATTAAATTAAAGGATATTTCAGCTGAACTTGTTACTTTGATGATGAAGAATTAATAGACTAGCTGAAGTTAAATGAGGAGAATTGTTTTGTTTACAGGCATTTAAGTCAAATCTTGAAATCATAGATGTGCTTCCAAATCTATGAATAAAGAGTTATAGGATATCTTGCTAGTAGTTTAAAAATATATATATAATGAAAAAAGAAGAACAAAGATTATTATCACCATTGCCATTCTAAAAAGGATGACAATAGAATCAAATCAAACATAATGCATTTGACAACATAATTATCTTTAAAATGATGTATATGATGTATAGTCATGCAATTTATTATTTGGACTTATATTGAACTTATTCTCTTAATTATAGGAAAACTATCATAAATATTTTATACATGAATGTCGAGCGCTAGGCCACTTAGCGATAAGCACCAAGTATGTCAATTACAGGGGGGAATAAAACCAAAATTATAAACAAAGCTATATATATGAAGAAAAGAAAAACTTAATTTTAAATAGTTCATAGACTAAAATCGAACCTACGACATCTTACAACTTAAGAATCAAAGAGTACTTTGGTTAATTCATAATTTTTTTATTTTTATTGACATTGAACTGAATAACTCTTAAATAAAAATATGATATGTATGTTTGTGTTAGTATATACCTTAGTAGAGAAGCATTATTGATATCATATTCTCTTAGAAACCTGAAGAGCAAGGCAGAGCCATGAAGGTTGCCATTCTTTATCAAATTGTTTATATTTACTGTTGAACTGATAGAACTCAAGAATTCCTTGATCTCTGAATCAAAATGATATTGAAGTCCTAATTGACACAGGGCATCCACCAGTTCAAGTTGTTCAATAAGGTCATGTTGTTTGTCAATCAAACCCATCACTTGGTCCTTCGATATATCCCTTCGATATATATACTTCTCATCCTGTGTGATATATATTATATCAACAAATATGTATAGTTATTCTCCTTGCAATGATAATATATGTTTACAAATTTGTCGTTGTATCATGAGAATGTAAATTATAAAATAGGTGCATTTACATCCACATCACCCAAATCTTTATATAAAATGTACATAAGAATGGAGTGGTATGGGTGCAAATGTTCCTATAAAAT